TCTAGATATAGAAATCTACATGAAAGTTCCAAAAGGATTTCCATTGACTAGTTCAAATAGTTATGGACCACATAACACTCTCTCTATTAGACTGAGGAGATCACTTTACGGATTGAAACAATCAGGGTGGATGTGGTATAACCATCTGAGTTAATATTTGATAAGTCAGGGTTATGTGAACAACGAATTATGCCCATGCGTATTCATAAAAAAGTCACATTCCGGATTTGCGATCATTGCATTTTATGTCAACGACATAAACCTCATCAGAACTCCGACAGAGCTTGAGAAAATTGTTGTTCACTTGAAATCAGAATTTGAGATGAAAGATCTTAGGAAAACTTGATATTGTCTCGACCTAGAGATTGAGCATTGTTCGGATGGAATTCTAGTACATCAATCGAACTACATCCAAAAGGTGTTGCGACATTTTAATGAGGATAAAGTGAAGCCTTCGAGTACTCTTATGGTCATTCGGACTCTAGATACTAAACGATATCTCTTCCATCCCAAGGAGGATGAGGAAGAGATTTTGGTGCATGAAGCAATTGGGGCTTTATTGTACTTGGCTTAATGCACTAGACCTAACATCTCCTTCGCTGTTAATCTTTTTGGCTAGATACATCAATGCGCCCGCACGCAAGCACTGGAATGGTGTTAAAGACATTTTTCGCTACCTCAAGGGTACGATAAATTTGGGTTTATTCTACACCCATGAATCCTCGAGATGAGCCGCTGCCCCCTCGGTCATCGAGTTGATTCCCGCCTTGTTGGTTGCGCAAATGTTGGTTATCTGCCTGACCTACATAGGGCAAGTTTTCAAACAAGCTATGTCTTTACCGTTGGAGACACCGCTATATCTTGGAGGTCTACCAAGCAAACGCTAGTGATAGGAGCATATTTATGCGCCTTAGTTAGCTAGTTCTTATGCATTTCCATGGTGTTTTCTTAGTTAAAGTAGTCTTTTAAGCTAGTTTTATGTGTTTTCAGGTTTTAAGGGCAATGCATTTTGGAGCCTTTTGGAGCAAAATGGAGCTTGGAATGAATGTCACATATTTGGAGCCAAAGGTTTGGACGAAATTGAAGATTTGAAGATTTGAGGATTCCTAGTCCAAGAAGGAGTCTTAATTGAAGAAGGATTCCTAATCAACGAGGGATTCCTAGTTGAAGATGGATTCCTAGAAGAATGAAGATTCCTACTCAAACAAGGTTTCCTACTTGAAGTAGGAAAGTTAAGCTTAGAAGTTGCTATTTTGGGTTGATCTTTCCTAAACCTAAATGGCCTTAAGTTTCAGCAAAATTAGAAGGTTCCTAAATGTTGGAAGACACAAAGGAAGGTTTTAGAACATTTTCTCATCTTTGCCGTGGGTTAGGCCTTATTTTCTCTTGGTTTTGGGCTTTCTAGAAGCCCTATCCTTATTCCTTATTCCATGCCGCACCTATACCTGATCTAGAACCTTTTGCCTTGCCTTGCAAGGCATTCTAGAAGGCCAATCCTTTTCCCATCAAACCTGCCGCACCTTTTAACCTGTTTCTTATTGGATTTTGATTTTCTAAGCCTTTTTCCTTGTGGATTTGGGTTATTCAAGTCCATATCTGATTTACCTAGGGTTTTAAGTGCCTATATATATTCATAATCACCCCTTGGCCGAATTCACCACCTCCCATATTCATAAATCACGCCAGAACTTCATTCACCTTCTCTGCCGTAACCCTCACTCACCATCTGCCATAGTTCTTGCCCTTAAACACCCTTGCCGCACCCCCCATCAAACCTAACACTACCATACCATCTCCTACCCATTCATCCATACAAATAACCCCTAGAACCTGACTTTAGACCAAGTGCCGCAGCAAGGAGGAAGGAAGACTCGTGGATGCACCTGCTGTCCAAGTTGGATCATCTAGGTGTTTTCTTTCTTTGGATTTTAATGTCTAAATTTATGTATCTTTGCTTTACGAGTATGAGGAACTAAATCCCCCTTGGCTAAGGGGGGATTCGAAACCATGTTTATGCTTAATTTGCTTATCTATTCGAATTAAACTGATTTGCTTATCTATTTGAATTAAACTGATTTGTGTGTGTTGGTTGAGAGTGCACGCTTAATTTTCATGCATAAATCTAATGCTAGGATATAAGGGATTTTCACCTAATCGTTATGAACTTATATTCACAGGTAGTAAAGGTTGTTGATCACAATCGTGTTAAGTAAATTCTTGGCATAAGTATCATGCGCTTTCATAGTTACGAGTGCCTCGTCAATACTTATGATTTCCATTGAACGTAATGATCTTTAATTGTATCTCTATTATGCGCTTTCATGTAGGGAACTTTTGAGGAATAATTTGGTTACGATGCGCTTTTTCCATCCAAATCATTGACTTAAGGGAAATCTGAAAGTTAATTTAAGCGTATCTAATTAACTTGGGGTGTTGGGAATTCATGGGTTATTGAGAAGCAATTGGAAATCGTTTTGTATGCAAGTGTGACATGTGTGGAGAAGAACCCCTTAGCTAGCTTCCCATCCATTCACTTTTATCAAATTCGTTTTGGAATCTGTTCAATTTACAAAGTTTTGTTTTTGTTTTCAATTTTCGTCAAAACTCAATCCCCATTTATTTTGAAGTGTTAGATTAGTTAGAAATCAATTTAGTTTGTGTTTTTAAGTGTCTTGAGTCAAGTTATACCCTATTTTCGTCCAAATTTGTGTTTGTGTTCAAAACTGCCCAAAAAGTGTTTTTAAGGCAGTTTTGAGTGTTTATTTGCTGTTTTGAGTCTTTTGCTTTGTTTTGGTGTTTTATAGTTTAGTTTTGCATTCTTTGAGTCTAGTTTAGTGTTTTAAACTTTGTTTTTATGTTTTGAGTCAATTTTCAAGTGATTTGGCAATCCCTCCTAATCCCCGGCCTAGAACGATCCCTACTTACATACTTTGCTACAATTGATAAAAATAGGGTTTAATTTGTGTGCTTATATATTTCGCATCAGCTAGTTGCGACTTCTTCAAACCATGCTGAGATCCTCGCCCTGCATGAAGCATCGCGTGAGTGCTTTAGGTTGAGAGCAGTCATAGAACATATTCGAAGCACTAGTGGTCTTACTTCTGTCGTTGGCCTTCTTACAACGATCTTTGAAGACAATGCAGCATGTATCAAGCAGTTAAAGAAGGGATACATCAAGGGAGACAACACCAAACACATAGCGCCAAAGTTTTTTTGTTCTTACCAGCAACAACAACATCAGAACATTAAAGTCAAGCAAATTCGTTCCCAAGACAACCTGGCCGATCTCTTTACCAAGTCATTGCCCAAGTCTACTTTTCAGAAGCTTGTCTAAGGAATCGGTATGCATAAATTATCTGAGTTGAATTGCTTGTAGTTCTTTTATTTGGAAGTTATGTCTAACTCAGGGGGAGTATTCTAAAGCATACTCACTACTATTTTCCCTACGATTAGGAGCATTTTTTCCACTGGGTTTTTGCTACTTTACAAGGTTTTGATGAGGCAACCATCTTGGGATGATCATATTCCGTTGAGTTCACTACTTTCGTCCTATTTGACGTTTGTTTTAAACATTATGCATACTTCTCACTTTTCTCCTTAGTCTATGGGAAAACCTACCTTAGGTTTTACCGTAGCGAGGCTTTCATCAACTGTTCTACCTTAACTGCTGAAGATCTGATGCGATGTTTTGTTTGAGTATTTACACACTTAAAGGGGAATGTTGCAGTCATATTTAGAATATGAATGGTAATCCTAAAAGGGTAAGGATTTAACCTAGCCTACTACTATAAATAAAGGCACAATGGGGTGATACAACACACACCTCACAATTAAATCTCTCTCTTCTCTCTCTTCTCTCTCTTGTCGCCGGCCTCTCTCCCTCTCTAGTCTTAAATACAGTTCAGTCAAATACGCCTACAACTAAAAGGACCTTCTTTGACTAATTTCCTCACATTTCATCCAAAATAAAAAAATGTCACATCCAAAGAGCAAAAGCCATACACTTTTGATTAAGTCTCGGTCCATTGCAGTAAATGATAATTGTAGTAACTGATTCAAAGTGAAGGTAGAAGAGGAGTTACTCATTAAGAAAATCAATCACTTTAAATCGCGACGAATGGTAGAAGACTAAAATGAGATAGGTTTCTTTCATCCCTAACCTGACCTCTTCTAGTTCCTTTAAATTGAAAAAACATTCACTCTTACCTTTATTTGATCTTGAATCTAATCAATCTTAAGCACCATAGGAGCATTGAATCTAATCAATCTAACGAAATAGTTATCTAACAGTCTGCCTATATGACGCAAGGCTATCGTCAGTCCAATTTAAATTATTAAAAAATTACTAAAAATTATTAAAAAATTATAAAATACTAATATTTTAATACGAATTGCCTAAACTTTCAATTTAGAGATGGAGATGCACTTGGCGATTACTGTTCATTTAAAGGAATTGAGTTGCCTATTACCCAGGGGTTGTACTACAATGGAAATGCTCTCAAAAGCTTTCATTATGAAGCAAACTGTCAATTAATTTCAGAAGAAAACATAATGGGCGGACTTGATAGTGTAAATGGGATTCCGCCTTACCTATGATTTCTTGGGAGGTCTAATTTCTCCAAGCTTGTCTGTTCCGATTCTGTTCTGAGAAAGTGAGAGGAAGGACAGACATTTTAATCCAAGAAAACGAGGTTTGTTAAATCGTAAAGAAGCAAACTTTCAATTAATTCCAAGAAAACGAGGTTCAACAGAACATGATTAACTAAGTCAGTAAAGCTTAATGAAATTATACAAGGAAGTCAACAAGTTCTGGAACAACAATGACTTGAGCTCCTTCCTCCCCCTAGCAAGAAATAAAAATTCATAACCACTTGATCCAACCAGGCCGTAATCCCTCATAAGCAGGAATAAATATCCAAAATCCAAAATAATTTATACTAAATGCATCGGTGGAAATGCTATTGATGTCGAAACTGATTCCATGACTACGGTTCTTATGGTGTCTTCAATGCTTGAAAAGTTTCATCCATTGTTTTAATCTTATTGATGGGTACAGGAGGTTTCTTTTTAGACAGTGGGATTGCAACATCAAGCACATCAACAGAGAACTGAACTTTGCTGCGGATTATTTGGCAAACATGGCCTATTCTTTCGATCTGGGCTTGAATATTTTGGAGACTGCTCCTAGTTCTCTTTCTTGTATTTTGGAAGATGATAAGGAAAAGCTCATGCCTGTATTGATATACGTAAACATGTGTATATGCCCTAAACACTGCAATTCATGCATTTCGTTCTTGTAGTTTCTTCGTGACACGCCTCAATATTTCTTCGTTGGAGGAGATGACAGGTTAGAATCGCTGCTCCATGCATGTTTGATAAAACAAATATGGCACACCAAAACTGGTCTTCTATTATAACAATATCCTTACTCTTTCAATGGGCTAATAAATACATTCATGCATACAGAATAAAAAATGAAATATATATATATATATATATATATATGGTGGCCACAAGATTTTAGCTATAGATCGAAAATGCTGAAATAATTCACACTAAGACGATGAAAGTGCAACTTATGGTTGAACCTCATTTGTTTCAGCTTGCTCGGCTTTATTTCACTCTCCGTTTCCACTTTGCCTAAATGACAATAACAAACCAGATACAGACTATTAGCTTAAACTGTAAATCAATCAATAATTGTTTAAAATACGATCATTCATGCATGCATGCATGAGGGTGGCATCCTCCTGAGACTAAACATTGAAATCAATGACTTGTATCTATTGCTTGAAATCCAGAAGCTATGTCTAACAAGTTAAAAGAAGATTTGATGTCTCCTATATATTGATAATTATCAACCATGAGTTATAGATAGGTAGAAGGAAAATACATCATGAAAAATTGCATATAGCTTTGCAAGAAAGATATTCAATACGAAAATTAGCACTCGTGATATATTCTGATCACATTAATGATTACTTCTCTAGTACAATTGGATCCCACATACCCATGTAGGCTTCACCTCAATTGGAGAGCTGGTCAATGAACGATGTGATATAAATAACAATTTTCTTTTGTTAACAACAATAGTGATTAATGAACAAGAATTTTTATTTTTTTTTGTACATCGATATTTGGAGAGTTTGGCTAAGCCACACAATGAGCAGCCTAATTTGGTATCGAATTCGCCATTCACGAGATTTGAACCTAAGACATCTCACTTCCAAGTGAAAAAGAATACCACCAGACTGTAGTTCTGAGTGGCAACGAGAAAATTATTTTTTTTAAAACTATATATATAGCAATGCATATAGGTCTGAGAGGTGAGTTTTAAGGACTGATTTTGGATCAAACTAAGAGAATGCAGCAAATTAATCCACGTTGATAAAAAAATGCATGAAGGAAAACAAATGGTGATACAAGCATTATATGTACTAACCGAAGTCTTCTTCGAACTCCTTTTCGATTGATTTCTAGAAAGGGAAACCAGGCTATCCAAGTAGATCAAAATGATACCAACTTTGTCAACTCCACGAATTGGTAGATCCCAGAAGTTTTCATCGTCATCAAAATTGTACATTAGTAACCTTTCGCCAATTACCATCAAATCATGAGTTTTGGTCCAAAAGCCAGAATGAGACAATTTGTGATAGGGGATGGAGACTCTCATTTTGGTCCAAGACTCCTTAACTCCATGTTCCTTCATCACCCAAAATTCATTGTACGTTTGATCATGATCGGCGTCGACATTATGTGATATGCACAACCATTCTCTGAATAGCCCTAGCTCGATTGGAGGGCTATTCTCGATGGAATATTCCGGAGACAGTTGAATTTCCCGAACCTCCTCCTTTGCTAAGACGAGAGATACAATGACGGAAGACTCAGCTTCATATTCACCCTTATGCATCAACCAATGAAGTTCGCCATTCAGATGTATCCCGCGTACTTTAGTACATTCAAAACAATTGAAGTTGTCGCGAATCACCCGCCACGAATTGGTTTCTAATGTATAGACACAAAACTCGATTCCGTGATTAATGTTGATCCGCCCGCAGACCACCTTATGTTCATCAGTGGAGTGATCATATCCGAACCCACAGAGGCTCGAATAGCGATATGGTTTTGGTGTCCTTGGTAGTATCTTGAGTTCCCTGGTTGCGGGGTTAACCAAATGTAACTCCTTGCTTTCATGTAACTGGCACAACAATAAGCCATTGCAGTAACAAATTAACGAAACCAAAATATCTTGCTCTATGCTGTAAACAAAGGCGAGCTCAGTAGCCGTCACTAAACCATTATCACCGACGTTATTGACGCGATTATTAAGATATACATCACGATTGATAAACTCGTCAAGGTACGAAAAGTAGAGGGATCGATTTTCAACACCAGTAAATACGAGCCTTCGTCTTTGGTGCATCACATCTTTATACTCAAAGGCTTTGTTGAAGTGTACTTTAACAAAATCATGGTCGGAGATAAGAGAACGCCACGGCTTTGACACACACTTAAACCGGCATAAGGACTTAACCGCTAGCCTTGAGAGAATGTTGATTATGATATCTGATGGAAGGACATTAGGGCTTTCTGTGAGCTGGTACTCCACCTTCACGTGCCTCACGTTCATCGATCTCTTCACAAAAACAAAACTGGTTTATGCTTGGTTGCTACTTATACTCCAAACCCTAAGAAAGCTTTTGAGTATGTACGGAATTGAATGCAGCATTAGTTGTGTTGTAGAAAGGGCGATGACGGAGAAAAACTTGGTAAAACCGATTTAATACACCGGTTGTCTTTGTCTCACGCAGCGTATGACAAGATAGGAGTGGTATTCGCGTGACGAAGGCCGCATTGCAACAGGTGGGTTTGTTAGAGACAACTATGGAGATTTGGTAGGAATTGGTCAAGTTCTACAAGCAGAAAGTGTGGCTTGTAAAGTTTAGTTTCCTATCATTGTGGAGTCAAGACTCCAATATTGTGCTGTGCGATCCTGACCAGCCATCTTAAAAGCTAATCAACCTCATAACTGTCATTAACATTACATCTCACCCTTCCTCCTGAAATCCTGAACATCAAAATAGATGAAAATAAACTAATCTCGTGAAGAATCGAAAACAACCAACGATTTAACCTCCGCTTAGCTTTTGATTTTGCATTGCGCTACTATTGTACAGTGATTTACAGAGAACAACAAACACATACTAGTATACAAACTGTCTGCTTCAAACTAACGGTCTGCTGACTGATGTCGGTTATCCTTCTACAAACTCAACATCGCTGAATATTCTAAGTCTTGAATTGGTGGAGAGGATCTCAGAATTCTTGAGTGTAAAGCCACGAGGAAGTGGTAAAGGTAGTCCTTTCCAAAGGTATAAATTCAAATACGGCACAACAACAGTTTTGAGGATTGTTGACAATATGGCCTGCAATTTAAACATCTTGGTCATATTAATATCAATGAAGCAACGACTTTATATTTGTGAGAGGAGAATGTAGCAGGAAAAGATGAGTCAAATTTTCCCTATGAGAGTTAATAAGCCATATCGTCTTAGACAAATCTGACAAAATGCATTTTAAAATAATCTTCTTCTAGTCCGTAGACTTCGTACTAACATTCAACTTAGGGCTGGTTTGGTATTGCTGTGCTTTGAAAAAAAGCTGCTTGCTGTGCTGTGAGAATAAGCAGCTGTGAAATAAAGCAGCAGAGTGTTTGGTAAACTTTTTTTGTAAAAATGCTTTTGAAAAAAAAAAGCAGTATTATAGTGTTTGGTAAACTTTTATGTAAAACAGATGTGAAAAAAAGCCGGCTTTTCAAAGCTGGGTTTTGCAGCTTCTTGTTTTTGGCTTTTTTCACCCAAAACTGTGAAAAAAAGCTAAAGCTGAATGTTTAGCAAACACAAAAACAGCTCCCAGATTTTTTTGATACCAGCTTTTTTCAGAATCACCTCAATACCAAACCAGGCCTTAGAAAGGTATCATCCCAAAAATAAAAGGTAAACATTCTGCAGAGGGTATCACTAATTTTTTGGCTTACAATTTGATACGGGTTCATGAGTGCTCACAATTGGGGCTCATTAACGAGCAATTAAGACCAAGAGGTCCAAAATTCACTAGTACCCTGTACTATCTGTACTACTTGATGTAAGAGAATGTTTATATTCCAAATATGATCGGCTTACTGAACTCTATTACCAAACCACTTTTACAATTCTACATGATTCTGTTGGCCTACAAGGCTACAACCGGATCATGTGCTCTGTGAAATACATTAGAAGCTTAAAACAATGATTAAAATCAGTTCATAAAGAAAATTACCTGAACGAGACGCATGTGTAGGTTACCAATTTCACTCCACTTCAAAGAAGCTGTAATATCATTCAATTTAACAATGCCAGCTAGTTTGTTCCTCGAGATCTTTGGGGAACATGAAGCATGAATCTCCTGCACCACCAAAAGGCATTTGGAAAATCATAACAGACGAGGGAATAATTGTGCATAAAACTAATGAGGACACATATTCCGATGAAGCATACCAATGATATGCACGCAACTGATATTACTTCATCATCATCCTCCACAACACCAATTGTCACATCAGAGTAAACAGTGAAGTCAACGCCATTGTTCGCAACTCTTATTATTGGTGGAGAAGATACAGAAATATTAAGTTCCATATCTTTATCTGGGTACTGCTTGTACAGTTGAGGAACAATGTGTTTCCACTGAGCAGTGTTCAGAAGGGACTGATCTGGTATCTTGTTGATTGTCCGTTGCATATAATTTTCCTGAACAAGACAAGGGGAAACAAAAATAATATGTTAATTTAACTATGCAACTTGGTCTCTGTAATATAGATGTATAACAACATAAGGGTGCAAATCAGGCAAGGCAGGGGTCAGTTTTTGAATGCCCAAGTAAGATATGGTGTGAGAAGTTAATAACTTAAGACAACCTTAGTGGAGGAGGAAGTATAAAGTGAAGCAAGAAAAAAAGATCATTGTTAAGAATGGAGCGGAAAAGCAAAAACTTACGTTGTAGAAAACTAAGGACACTGAGCTAAAGACATTTTCATGTAATGATATCTCAACCATCTTAGCTGGAGCATTGCAGGGAACAGGATCTAGTGAACCTTTATTGTATAAGCTGGAAGCGGAATTATCATCACGAGCCGTGAAAAGACCATTTATCTGAAATTCAATGGAAGAATTACTCAACACAGGATTGCCCACAAATGTAACATTCAAAGCTGCAATATCATCCAGTGCAATTTGTTTTGGAAGCGATTGTAGTAAACTGTCAAGCTTCACTATTCCTTCTCTGACTTTATTGGAAATATTATCTTCAACTGCAGAAATTATTTGGCCTTTAAAGGCATCCACTAATCTGAAAACCAAAGGTAAGCGGATCAACTACAATACATTGGTATCAGAGAAAAGATCAAAAACCTTATGGGTGGACCTTATGTAGCCTTAATTAATACAGGTTCAGAGGGTGAAATGACCTTTAACCGAAACAAAAGAGGCACAAAAGAGGCACATAAATCTTTGTCAAAACAAAGTTAATTAAGAGGATTGCATACCCTTGGTAAAGCCAAGATGCTCCACCATCTAACTTAATGGTGATATCTTTCACATAGCAACCGCATTCCAAAACAGACAGCTTAAGGGTTCCTTCTTGGTCCTTCAAAGCTAAGGTAACACCCACTTCCATACCTTCAACCTTTTTCAGAAGCAACAGCACTTTATAAGAATCAAACAAATGGAGGGGAGAGAAGCTTCAGAATAAGATTTCTATGAACATGTTCTTAGTTTAATTGGTTCCACTCCGCTACCTTGTTCCTATCAAAATTTTGACCTCAACGAAAATCTCTCATCACTCAGTGATCTTGGAATGCACATAATGCATAATACACTGCAATTTATTACAGCAACTGACCACGGAACCATTTTCTGTACCATTAATTTCTAATAGTTCACTGTTACATCTTGTAAAATTGTGCGATAATATCAGTTTCTACTTAATAGTTCTGTTGAGCTTCTCCTAATGACAATTAGATATACTTTAGGGCCTACACAAAAGTAACCAACCGGAGACTTCCTCCTTATTTGGAAGTTTTTTGGTTTGACTTGGAAACATACTCCATAGACTTAAACCCATTTAAGCCAGATATTAATGATAACAGTAAACAAGACTGCACATTCAACTCCAAGCTGGTCACTTCTCACTGTCCTTAAGAGGCAATGAAAATGCAGTGGGTGGCTACCCAAGGCGAGACGCCAAGGGGTTATCTAGTCTACTCTATGAGGTGCATAAATTCAATCTCTAGTATAACTAGAATTGAAACTACAAATTTATGACAACCAGTTATCACAGAAGTACAATCTACCATAATCCTCCTATGCCTTGGTTCATAATTCAATGCAATTAAAGCAAGAGAAAAGTAAGATTGCATTTCTGAGTTGGTCAGTGTACCTGAATGGAGGCATCCCCACTATCTGAAATATCAAATAACCAAGTGCTATAAGTATACTTCCAATCCATGCTCAAATTTGCAGTGGCTCCTGAAGCAATTAAAGCAATACCAGAGTCACCAGTCTCCACATATGAAGAGCCAATTTCCACATTGTAAATTAAGATATTCGACAGAACAATATGAACTTTGCCAACAAGTGGGATTTTGATCGACTTTTTTATTTCGGGCAGCTTAAGGGGGATTATGGAGGAAACAGCCTGTTCTATCAGCAAGTCCTTGGTGAAATCAAGACCCTTTCTGGATACGACCACAGATATGAATCCTTCTTCCTGGGTAGTTGTAGAAACCAGAAAAAGTGATGAAATTATGAAGAAAATTGCAGATTTCATCGACTTTGGGAAGGAACCCATCACAGATAATGGCTAAATTAAGCTACCGCAGCATGCGCCACGGAAACTTTGGAGTGAAAGGCAAGAAATTTTCAGAAGAAACCCATAAACATAGTTGAAAAAACTGGTTAGATTTCAGCAGAGGGCAACGGGAAATGCAAAAATGAAGTTGCTCAAGGAGTGGATGGGGAAAGTGGAATTTTGGGTTATTGAGGGAAATAGAATTTTGATGGGTCTGGTGATGAATCAGTGGAGATTGTAGAGTTCGGGTGGAACAAGTTAGTTGGTTGACGTTTTGTAGTTTTCTTCATTATGTGAAGGGTAGTTTGCGCTTGCGGCTGGACTTCCGGAGGAGGGGTTACATAATAAAAACCTAGGAGCTAGTCGGGTGCCGGGTTAGGATCTAGCGTCTAGGCTATTAAACGAAGCCTACATAAACTAGGCAAAGTAATTTATTATATATAGTATAAATAATTGCTTTAAGTGCTTATTTATACTTAAAAATAAGTATATATTTGTATTGTGATACATCAATTGCAAAATAAAATGACATGTAGATTATAAAGTATTGTAACATATTGAAAACATAGGGAATAAACATATAATGAATATTCATCCAAGTATTTAACAAGTCTCTTACATTTTATTGACAAAATAAAATGCAAAACAAAAGTTATCGATTTTTTATTTAAGTAAAAGTCAAGACCTAAACGGATGCTCAAACGGACTAAATAGATATCTAAACGGATCTAGGTGCACTTTCTTAGTTTTCAACCGCTAAAAACAGTGCTAATAACATATCACCATTTATTGGACGGGCCGCCACAACTGTGTTAAACCCGCTGCAAATAAGTTGTTGGACTGATCACTCATTTGGTAACTACATTAACAGAACCCAGTCCGCATCAACTTCAAAACCGAAGTTATCTTATCTGCACACTTTTTACCTTTTTTCCTGTAAACTTCTTCAGAAATCTCGCTCTTGACTCTCTTAAGAAGAGGGGTATACCATGTTGGTGTCAAAAATCCGACAAAGTCGACGACTCGGAAGGGGCTTCGACTACAACTATTTTTGGAGCTTGTCGCGTGTTCGATAAGATGGTAAGGAGATGTGTTCGATGAGGGGGGTTTTGACTACTTGGAATGCGATTATTGCAGGTCATGGGTAGAATAAAAATGGGAGCATTCTTGCTCCTCACAGTAACTATGTATATGCTCATCATACACCTAATTATCTGCCTCTGTCCATACTCCGCTCAAGAACAAACCGGATGAGTTCACCTTATCTATCCTCGCTAGTCGCTACAACTTCATTTCGTATCTTTTTATCAATATACACTCTCCGTAGCAATAGCGGGCGATTTAAGATGCTTATCGCCATCGTAACAAGTTAAAAGAACAACCAGATAATCATAAGATGCTTTATTGCCCACAAGGACAAAAATAATTGTTTACCATATGTTCCTAATTCAATCAAATCCTTCTAATCAGGTTCGAAAGGAAGAAGCAATAGTGTCCGTTTCTGAGACCGTGTGTTCCTCCCTGTTCCGACAATCACAAGGAAAACGAAACTATAATTCATATGACAGGCTAGCCAATGCACACTACTATTACATGTACTAAATGGGAAATGGTAGAAGCAGCAGGCATACATGAAAAGCAAACCCCACAATCCAAACCAACGACGAACAGAAAAGTACAGCTTTCTCCGGTCGTTGGAGGAGTCAAACACAAACGCTCACCCTAAATTCTGTGTATCATGGGAGAGATGCCTCCATCCACCTTGTGTCTGTATAGGCTGTTCACGAATTAGGCTCTTGGATAATGACAGGCAATCTTAACCAACCTCAGAGAAAGTAGTCTGGTGCAGGTTTCTTGGCGGGCGCGCCTCTTGATTCCTGCATTTTATCACCATCTTTTAGTGTAAAATATAAGGGAAGTGGGACAACAGAACAAAAAAAAAAAGGAGCGGATACACTCACGGTCCATGCCACTGAATTGAGTGTCATTCTTTCGCACATTTACAAAATGAAAATGTTGTAACTAATCATACTTGATGCTAATTATTTCAATATAATCCAATTCACAAACTGCATTTCAACTCTTTCCAGATTTTATTCACAATCACGTCAAGTAGAATTCTTTCAACAACTAGTGCATTTTTTTTTTTAACTGGCTGCATGAACCCACATAACACCAATTACAAGTGGACAACAAGAACAAAGTTTCACGGTGCTGCTCAAAATAAAGAAAGTTCCCTATTTTTCAAGAAAATCAAAGTTTTGTACACACCTGTGGAGCAGCATCAAAGACACGAAACTGCTTATTAAGATTTTCATCCAGCTCAAGAATTGCAGCTACATTACCACATCTGCAACAGACCATCGTTGAAAACTCAATACAAACCTTCAAACTCCAGAAAACAAGGGAAAAAAGTTTATTGCAGATTGTTAACTTACCTGTAACAATAATTTGGTGCTGACCAGACAGTTACTATCTGGTTATTGAACATCCATTTATACCCTTCCATTACCAACTGATGGGCACGGCATATATAGTCAATGTTGTTTGCATGGTTAAATGAGGTAACAACACTGCCACCAAAGAGGAAACCAGCACCACGCGGACTCAAACCCCAACCGTCCACAATATCTTCAGGATCTGACCAAAGTAGGTCACACATGCCACCATCATGAGGTACTTCTTGCTTCCTATCAATTGTTCGTATCTGCCAACAGAACATGTTGGTCAGTTAGCGTACAAAGGAGAGACTAAAAACTAAAGAAAACATAGTAACAACTCAAACTCAAAAAGGATTCTCGAACCTGATCCAGAGTTGTAATGGCAGGAGAGAGACCACCATGTACGCTGAAAATCTTATTTTCGATGAGAGCTGACAGACTACATCAAATCACCATAAAAATTCAAAATCTGTAAAGGAGAAACAATATAATATGCCCGAGTCTCGGTCTCTATTGGAAGCTGTTTAAATGAAGACTAAATTAAACTGACTAATGGTGTGTAACAGGGTAAACAAAGAGTTTACTTTGAAGATGTAGTACTTGCTTCTAAACAAAGGATGCATAGATGAACTTATAAAGCAGGACACCTACTGAGTTGAATGTGGAACGGTGGGTAAAGTGCTAAAAAGAAAAGACACTAAGAAATATGGGAATCTAACAGCTGGAAAGAATTTGAGAAAATTAATGCATTAAATTAAGAAAATTCTAACAAGTTTTCGATATGGGAATTTTGTTAAAAGGGTGCAACGACAGTAACTGTTTCAAGCGACAAATAATGGCAACATCCAGTTATAAAGATCTCAACATTCAATTTGGACGAAATTTAGAATGAATTTTAATAACTTTTTCTCCTTTTCTATACATACATTTGAATCCCAAGTTCTATCACAATCCTGCCCCACCACCTGCTACCTCAACTAAGGCCTAGGGGATCCCTTCCAAAAGAAAGGAATGGTAATTTGATCACTAATACAGGGTTTAATTAACAGATCATAATATCCTATGATCTCCTTCAAAAGAAAATAAACTGTCATAACCCACTATGAAACTAGATTTCCAATACGAAAAAAATAATCTGTCCTATCCTTCAACAGAAAAAACTTATGTGATAGAAAAGGGCAAACCTCAGATAATCGAATATATCTGTGCAATATCTCCAAACATTGACGGATCCATACTTTCGTAGACATTCATCGTAGAATCCATACACCTGTCTAGAAAGGATAACTCAGTAAATATTCTGAATGGGTAAGCACTAAACAGTAGGCACCAGTAAAAGAGACTTAACCTGTGTGATCTGACGGCTCTCGTGGTTTCCTCTAATAAGAGTTATCCGATCTGGATATCTAACCTGAAGTAATTATTTTGTGTTAAAATAGTAAAAAAAAATGAAATAAACTAAAGAATAAAACATGAAACACTTAGATGAACAGTAAGAATAGATTCACAATCTGTAGATATTGTCAAAATCTGGGCTATCTAGCATCACTATCAATTAGCTATTCTTCTATTAATTCAGGTAGGAAATTCGTTTGTAAAAAGAAGTTTTTTCTAAAGAGAGATGTAACGTTCCACTTTCTTTCCTCAACCCATCATGAATCAATATTTGAGTTATGTGGCCTTCAATCCAAAATCAGTTCACAAAAAGCTTTAGGAGAGTTCAACAACTAAAGACTTGTGAGTGAACTATGATAAGTCTTTAATGTAGTTGTATCATTTGGAAGAAGTTCTATCATCTATAAGAAACAATAGTGGAAGGAAAACAGAAAACATAATAGTAAATATCAAGTACTAAACAAATTTTAAACTTTTCATTAGCAACTTGTGCTCTTAAGACCAAAACCAATACTCTTAAAAACTTGACCCAAATCAAGAATCCTTGTAATACTTGAAAGTAACTTTCACATCGACTGTTTCACTTATTTAGCTACTTTTATTCCATCATTTTATTTTTTAATTCTTGCACTACTGCATCACTGTGTGGTTTACAGTGCAGGAGATCCATGACATGGAGTCTGGTGTACCATAAAACACCAATCTACTGAAATCAAACAGATCCTACAATTTTAAAATAGGGTTATCTTTTGAAGCAATATAAACAACAATGTACTAGAAACTTTGAAGAATATGATTAAAACTTCAAACGTGCATAAAAACATCAATCGCCTTTAATGATATAAATAGCAAGCCGAGTATCTTCAAATGCCCAAGAAATCAGGAAAAGTAGAGAAGAATATAAGCCTGTCACCTTCAGGGCAAGTAGGAGTAGAAATGTCTCAACGGAATAGAATCCTCTGTCAACAAAATCTCCAAGAAACAAGTAGTTAGTCTTCGGGCAATCACCTCCTACTTTGAAAAGCTCTTTCATGTCATAGAATTGCCCATGGATGTCGCCGCATATCTATTCATCAAAGCATAGAGAACAATAATAATTAATCAGCATGAAGCCCGCAAGATTTAAATAGTTCGTAATAAGCACAAATTATAACGAAAATATAGGCCGCTCGTCAACAAAGTAAATGGTAATTACTGTTAATGCTATATATCGCTCCAAATTCTAAACCGTACACGTATTTCTTTCAATCATTTGATTATCCAAGTAAAAATAGGAAAACCCAATTGAAATATCATTCTAAAACCTTCAGCTATTTCCTAGAATCCAACACCATTTTACGGTTTTTTCTTCATAAATTCGGGTTGCAATTGCATACACATTGAAAAATCAAAGACAAACCCACTTGTCTGAATCGAATTAAACATCGAAAAACATTGCTAAATCAAATCCATCCCAAAAAAATCAATAAACCCTCAAATAATTATCAT